TTGTTTATACACAACAATTTCTCTGTGCTGACCAGGCTCGGTTAGTTTATCACAACTCTCAAGGCCAAGCACAGCCAAGCAGTGTCATAGAGCTTCAAAGTTTCGAAGCGAGAACAGTGATATTGTCAGCTCACCATGGTGTCGTTTCGTTTAGACATTTTTCAACTCATAAATGACTCCGAATAAGATTGTTTTACCGACAGTTCTGAGAGTGGCGTTGAGGAAAGTGATTCAGAAATGGATTTCGAGGAAGACCCATCATCTTGGTCGGCAACCTGGGGACCACCACACCAGCATGGCAAGAGGAGTGTGAATAATTATTCAGGTGGATCTGTGGGCAAACTGTGGCAAACAGTTATAGCATCTGTTGTTGAACCTGGAAGTGGACAAATAAACTATTTTTCCATCTCCTGGGTCTGAACAGTTACATCCTGTTGTCACACAGAGAATTTCGTCTCGCTCTTGTGCGGAACATGCTGGAAGGGGTCCACCTCGCCATCAAGGGCCCAGGGGTCGAAACCCTGCCGTTTTATCGGAGATATCTCAATTATAGGAGGCCAAACCACATCACTGGCCGACTTCCTCTACTTTGCAATTGAGGTGTCGTGTGTGCTTTTCTCGTGGGAAACGAAGAACCGTCTGGACAAAGTGCGTGAAGTGTGACATCGGACTCTGGATTTCCTGATGTTTCCAAGATTTCCAGACGAAGCCAACATTCCGTTAGACGACGCAGGTGGGAAGAGAGACAACTTATAAAGATGGTGACCAAAAATAATGCAAGTAGAAAAAGAATTTATAACTTAAAATTAGATTTTAAAAAGATGGCCGCACGCATGGACTGCGCTACGACATATGGCGTCATTCGTCCCCTTGACTTTATTTTAATACGCTCCTGCCCTAAAACATGTATATAATTGTCACACACACACACACACACACACACACCCTACAGAAGAGGTAAAAACAGATTTTACATAAAATTTAGATATGGGTATACATTTTTTTAATATACTCTTGTGTGTTGGCTGTGTGATGTGACAAATATCTTCACGCTGATCTTGGATGTAACGAATATTTATTGTACACTTTTATCCACACACAATTCACAGTGTCCCAATTATTGTCACTTATAATGTCCTCTAGATGCTTCTTCATCACTATCATAATTCTCGCTGCTTTCGGTCACGTGTTCTTGGTGACTGCTACACTTCAACTGAACTGCTCAGAGTCAGAGTTACTTTATGACTGGCGGTTTTACCGCCAATCAGTTCATCTTGATGTCAGGCCCCTTGAGGGCCACGACCAGAGATTTTTTCTTTCTCCAACTGAACTTTTGTGGTACTAGTCCTTATGTCACATCCTCTCTGATGAAAAGTTGGGTTTGTCTCTTATGAATGCACTTAACCTTTTGCCAAGTGTATATTTCGCACATATAACATGTTATTGAAAATTCTTCCGCTTGCACTAAACACAAGTCCTCTGTCAGTACAGGATTTACAGAGTAGACCGTGCTTAACTTACATATCTTCAAACACACACCTAGGAAGAGACAGGTGGCAAGACAAGTACTAAGCAAGGTTAGATAAAGGGAACCACAAAATGGAGGCAAGAATAGCACAGTTAGAACAATTGTTGAAAGGCTTAACAATAGGAGTGAAAACAAAGGATTTATCATTGGCAACAAGTATTAGGGAATGGAATGGTCAGTCGCATGCGAAATCGGTAACTGAATTCTTAGCCCAGGTAGAACAGTGTGCCCGTGTGCTTAATTGGAGTGAGGAAGACGTGGTAAACATGGCCAAGTTAACAAGAGAAGCTAGTCAATTTGTCAACAGTATAGACCAATTAACCAACGAGAATGTGAGATATGAAGTGTTAAAAGCAGCAATAGTGGACGGTTTTACTTACAAATTACTACTTCGGTACAACTATAATTTACTACACGAAGCCACGCAAGAGAAGGAAGAATCGCCCATCCAGTTTTTAGACAGGTGTCTGACACTGAGCACGAAGACCGTGAGGAAGGGAGCCGACCCGCCAGAGCAGTGCATATTAAAAGAGGAAGCAGAATTTAGGCTCCTCACTAGTTTCATCTATGGAATGAGAGGAGAAGCCGGAAGGGAGTTACGGATTCGAAATCCGGAAACTCTGGACCAGGCGCTAAACATGGCGACTGTGGTATACAATGCGAAGCGGACGGAACCTCACCACAAGGATAATGATACTCTGACCGTGAAGACGGAAAGGAAGAGCTTCACGAGTCCGAAGGGATACAGATCACCATGGAATCAGAGAAGCCAGCCGCAAGGATCGCCGGTACGACGATCCAAGGAACGAAGAGATACGAACAGAGACTCGGTTCGACCCCTAGTCAAGTGTTTTTCGTGTGGACGGCTATGCCACATAGCGAGGGATTTTGAGGCAAGACAACGGCCCACGACCCAGAGGGAGCAGAGCTCCGCAAACTAATTTCGGCGGTAGAGAAGCCCGTTGCCCGCCGAAACGAAGCCGCGTGGATTCCACTCGAGACAGCGCGAGAAGATAAAGAACTGTGTATTAGAGTGGAAGTCCAAGGGACAAACTACGAGTTCATAATAGACACAGGTGCAGTCGTGTGTTTGATCCAACCTTACGGTGGGAGGAGCCCACGAAGGAGATTACAGATGCGGTTAGGGGTATCACTGGACAGGAATTGGAGATACAAGGCACAAGACAAGCGGATTTCTTAATAGGAGACAGGCATTACACCCACGATTTTGTAGTAACGCCCTTTCCGATCAAGAAGGATGGAATTATGGCGCTCGATCTGTTGAGGGCACTAAACGCCCGTATTGACTTCGCCACCGAAGAAATAGAGTTGGATGGCCAGAAGATTAAACTGACGAATTACCCGTCAGGTAGACGGGAAGTGGACAGACGAGTAAGGGTCTGTCGGACGTTGCCGCGACCTCTGCAAGGTGCAGAGGAAGGAACGGAAACGGCTGTGAAGGCAACCACGGAGTCAAGAAGACAGGTGGTTCAGAGGGTAAAGGAGGACCCAGCCGAACCCGGCGTACCAGAGTCGAGGGGACCAGCGGTAGAGGCCGTAAAGAAATTGGCCAAACAACTACGAAAGGCACGTCAGATAGCGAGGAGGAAGCTGAGCCAAGTGAGAAGGGACCAGCACACTCGCCACGACCAGAGAGCACGAAGGGTGGAATATCACCCAGGCCAGCTTGTGTACCGAAGACAAATGGTAAAGGGAAGAAAGAACCTAAATGGTTAGATCCGTATCCGATGATACGAAAATTCTCTGACCTAGTGTACAGGATACAAATAGGGAAAAGAGAAGCGAATCTGCACGTAGAGCAACTGAAACTATGCAGAGCCACACGAGAAGAGCTCCGTGAGAGACCGAAGCAACATAGGCGAAGGATGAGGGGACAGAAGCCCAGCCTCTGGAGAGGTGAAGAGACAGATTCCGGCGATACAGAGTCGGAAGAAGAGTGTCACGAGAGGCCTCCATACTCATACGCGCCGTATGAAAGACGAAACAGACAAGGATTGAGGATACAGGGACCCAGATTCAGACAAGAAGGAGAGACGAACTCAGATGATTCAGCGTCGGAAGACTGCGAAGAGAAGCCACGATACTCGTACGCGCCACAATGCTAGTATACACCTTACGAGAGACAAGATACAACTGAATCAAACCGCAGAATCAGCACTTATGCTCCAGCGGAAGAGAAAGAGACAGAAAGAATAAGAGAGAGAAAAGCTACTGAGGCAGGTAATGATGGCCCGTCAGCATTAAATACGACCGAGACGAACGTGTTAAGTGAAGAACGACAAGGTTATTCACTACGACCCCGAATTCAGCGTAATTATAAAGAATAAAGACGGCCGGAGGCCGAGACACTCGCAGAGGTAACGGAAACTGACGTACCTCCTATGTCTTCAGGTGGAGAGAAACCTGAACACAACGGAGCCGTAGGGCTCAAGATGGATAGATGGATGAACTTGTGCGCGAACGCGAGATTTTGTTTAGAGGTGCCGTGTGATAAGTCACGGTAGACATTAGCGTGACGGAGCAGGCTAAGGTGATAGAAGGTCAAGCGGACCAAGGGACAAACAGCGAATACAGCGAGAACGTAGTTACACGAAGGAATTAGAAATATTAATAATGAAAATTTATACAGGTTGACAAGCTTAGCTGTAAATTAGATATCGCAACGTTACACCGATTGTCTGCCAGTTTGCTGCCCTCTCACAAGTTATTCGCGATCTTGCGCGATATTTACGTGCAATTGGAGCAAGGCTACTCGTTCATAACAGCCTTTAAACCGGAGAACATGCATTTATTTTATGCATCTTCGGAGGTTGCGGTACTGGCCACGAGCGAAGCAATTCGCCTCATTGTCCAACTACCCTTAAGAACCGAAAGGAAAACCTATAGCGTTTACGAACCTATACCGTTACCCTCATTCGAACCCAACTTAGGAAAGTTTGTTCAGTTACAAACAGGAAGGGAGAGACTAGTAGTGTCCTCCGGTAAAAGAAATTACTTGATTTTACCGACAGGGTATGTTCAAAATTGTAGAGAGGGAAAGATTGCTATATGTAAAGGAACAGTTCCGACAGTTGAGAGGAATTACTAAACTTGTTTGAGTAGTTTATTTTTCGGAACAGGTGAAGGATATTTGTCTTGCACA